TAGCTGTTTGCTGAATGCATTTTTCTTAAAACCAGAGTTTTACACAATATTTCCAACTTCTCTTCAAAACACTGTTTTTGTTGAGACCATCAAGTCTTATTATCAGCCAATGACTGTGTTAGCTGATAAGAATGTTACCCATATTGTAATTTATTTCACCAACGGAGAGCAGGAAAGGAAAACTTGCACATAATCACAATGTGAACTTTGAACAGCATAATACATTGCACTTACAACAGCACCATAAATACATAGAATCAAAGATCCAATTTAAGAGCAGATGGCACTGCGTACATAATCCTTATCTCTTGTTAAAGAATGAGCTAATGCAGTTGTTTGAAAATACGTAATAAGAAACCATGAATTACAAACAATGGAACTTTTTATTACAATCAAGTAAATCATAATGAAAACATAATAAAATTAAGAAATACCTATCATTTCATTCTAAAACATGCATTTTAAAACCATTTGGTATAAAATCTGGGTAGAAAGGTGTAAGTGCAAGAATCTTAATACAAGCAGTATTAAGATCGCAATAAAGATTGGCTTTTTAGTTACGTGTTATGATGATAATAATGATAAGAACAGTTAACATATTTACTTCAGTATAAACCATTATTTACCAACTGATCGGCGAGAAGCAACACTGTTTTTAAAGAAAATCTTCTTGAACAGAAATTAAACAGATCTTCCAGAGATGGACCAAGTAGTTCCATTACCATTACATTATAGTCACCTTCTGAGCCACACCATTTTATGGTAGGTATTCCAACTGAAATGTTACAATAAAATACTTGATCATAATGTAAAATTAAAATCATTTATCAATAATTATAAATACTACAACATAAAATAAAGACTAAAATTTTATTGATTACTAGAAGTAATATATCTATACTTTGCTTGAAAAATTTAATTAAGGGGCATATTAAATTTAAGAGATCATATTAAAATTAAGAATAATTGAACTATCTGTATTCATTAGTCACAAAATATTGTTACAAATGAATGCTTTGGATGACCTTCTTTATAAAGGAACTCTTTGTTACAATAACATTGAATGCACTGCTTTAAATAGATCAAAAATCACTTATTGGAAAAGCCTTACACGAATCGTTGAAAACAACAAGATCTAATATAACCCCCGAATAAATTGATCAGTTGAGTGCAAGTACCATATCTAATACAGCCATAAATGTATTCAGAGCACACAAAAATAAACTGCTGAAAGTTTTCTTTTATTGCTGTTTTAAGAACACCTTCACCACTGAGAAGTGGAAGTAACCGAGTATACGAAAATTTCATTGTTCCACTTTTAAGGAAGTATGTACAAATTTAATTATTTATAATTACATCGCACAATTCATTACCATTGTTTCAATTCGACAACAAGAAACAAATTATATTGAGGAAATGGGGGATGAAGGAGTATCAAAAAGTTAAATTCTCACAGGCATCAAACGTCAACTGGTAAGTCGCCTGTAAACATTTACATAATTACAATGCTAATATCCCAACAGAAATGTATAATCGTTAAAACGGTAAAGTCCATATTACATTGTCACAAAGAGGAACAGAGAACGCGGAAGGGGAAGAAAGGAGTGACATAGGAACAGCGGTGGGGGGCAGCAGAGCGAGGGGGTGGAAGAGAGAGACAGAGAAAGAAGGTTCAGTGGCCAGAGCTCAACCAGCTGTCCAACAAACAAACTGAAAATTCTGACGGTTCTCGTCCGACACGGGCGGTGAGTTTCGAAATAATTCGTCGGACGACCGACATTCCACGGTACACGGTTACACCAGCCGAAATTTTACTCACCACCTCCTTGCATCATCTTGTAGAACTTCGATTCTATGTGTAACTGTGGATGCCGCGTTTTTATGCATTCTAGCTTGATGGCGACTTCCTCGCCGGTGGAGATGTTGGTACCTAAGAAATGACAGAAAAAGGCCAAAAGGCCCGGTCACACACGCGGTTTTCCGAACAAAACAAACCGGAACCAGGAACAGTGTGCGGGGTGTCAAGAGAAGAAGGGGCGGGAAAAATGTAAATAAAAAAAAAAGAACTAGACAACGAGGGAAAAAAGTGGGAAAAGGTGTGCACACGTTTGAAACGGGGGAGTTGACGCATTCATGCGTGTCCATTAGGCAAATATGTGACAAACTAGCGCAAGTAGGTGGACGGACGGTATGTACGTGCGTCTATGTGTACACAGTGATTCCCAAATTTGTTCACAGGAAGCTGTCAAATTCGTTTGACCGTGGTATACGTGAAACGTCGAATTTCCCGTCGAAGTAACGAGAACTACGTCACAGAGGTGCAACGAGGATACAGACGATAAAGGATAAACATATTTAGGTCGCACAACTATTTATACACATAATTGTTATTTAGGTAAGTGCGTGAACGAATATGAGAGTCACTGTATAATACGTGTAGGTGGTAGGGGAAGGAAAGGGGGAAGAGGGGAGGGCACAAGTAAAAGGTAAACGTCGAAAAGGGAAACACAGGCGAACAGATGAGAAGTTACCTAGATAAATATCGCCGAATGAGCCACTCCCGATTTTCCGTCCGAGCCGGTACTTATTACCAACGCGCAGCTCCATCCTCCAGGCTCGCGGACCTTTGCGAAGAAAAGTAGCACGGAGCAAGGAAAGGCGACTTTTAGGTAGCCCCGACTCGAGGAGCGCTCTCGCTCAAGAGGCTCCGTTTGGCGGTACGGTTTTAAACGAGACCTGGCCACCGTGTTACAAACCGGACGGGGCCTCCATGTTTAATCGCGTCGCCGTTCGCGGACCTACGGGCATTTCTTCGTCTTTCTCTCCTCGAAGGAATAGTCGCTGGTGCTGGCGGTGGTGCTGCTGCCACTTCTTCTCGGTGCGATGGCGGCCGCGCTGTTGATGGCGCTGCTATCGTTCTCGTTGTCGCCGTTGTTGTTGACGGCGCTACCTCCGTCGTTACTGCCAGACAGAGATCACCGCGACAGGGAGCACCAGCACCGATCACCAGACGAAGACTGTCGTATCCGAGACGATTGCCCCCCACGGGGGGCGGCTGACCGCTCGTCCTTGTATTTCGCGAGTTTAGTGAGCACGAGAACGCGCCACGACTAACACCACCGGATCTAGCAGAATACCTCGATCCGGGCTTTACAGCGCCAAGTACCCGCCAATGGGAGCGCGAACCGCGTAAGGGCATCTGCCCTTTCGCTACGTTGATCACCAACGGAGACCGAACGGCAGACACCAGTTATGGCCGTCCCACGAACCACACTGATTCGATCCTTCTCACCCCTCTCTCTCTTTCTCTCTCGCTCGCGCGCTCTCTCTCTCTCTCTTTTTCTCTCGCGGTTGCACACCTTCTACCCGCGAACTGGATCCTCTCCCTTAACCCCCCGTTTCGTTCTACCGAGTCACCAACGAGGAATCGAGAAATGAGCGTCCACGCGAATTTATCATGACACTCCGTATCACTTTCGCTCACTTTCTACGACGCCGTTTACTGGACAAGTCCTATTCCCAGTGTCGCACGCTCACCGCCACCCGACCCCCGACGTCGCACGAATGATTGCGACCGCGCACGAATACCCGAACGTGCTCGACACGCCTGAAAAACGTTTGCGTCATCTGGCGAACGTTACTCGAAACTTCCTAGATCGCGGGGAAGTCCCCCTCTCGTCTCGCGAGCGGCACTATTCGTGATTAAAGATTTTCGGGCACCCGCGTTTCGGTATCGTAATTTTTACCGTTTGTAGACGTTCTGGCGTAGGCTACGTTCTTTTGGCGATTAGTCGAATATTTTTGAATTCTAGGAAAACGAAGAACAATTTTCCGTTTATTTGTTATTGGATGAATAGATAATATCATTTGGAACATCTACTTTAAATGATTGTTCGAATATTAATATTTTCATCTTGCGGGAAATATTATTTTTGAAAGCTTTGTTTGCAACTATTGATATTGTTTTTTTATCGATATGATATTTCAGATTATTTATATCGACTTTGATGATAATTATCGCGTTATTGGAATACGTTTGTATTGCATAGATCTTGGAAACAATCAGACGAATGACGCGGTGGAATAACGACGTGATCGATCGATAATTACAAGCGAATATTCAATCGTATGATACATTATTCTCAAACGCTAATTCAACGTATTGAAACGTTTACATTTTACTCCGTTTACCGCGGTTTACGAAGTTACTTTATACGTTTTGTTGCTGCACAAGTTACTTGTTAAATTCCTAATGATTTCTTGAATTAAAACCGAACGTATAATCAAATTTTAAGGTATAAAGTTTTTATTGTATCCTTATCTGATAAAATCTTGATACAAAGAATAAATGTCTGATTAAAAAGTTTTTTTTTTGCATAAACATCTGGAGTCTAATAACACTTTTATCGTTTACTCTCGATTGTTTGAAATTTCAATTTTACT